TCGGGAATATTACCGGGGCTTCGGGGGTAAAAACGCAGAGCTTCGGCACGAAACGAAGGAGAAATGAGCAACTATGCCCGGACCCCTCACATCCTATTTATAGGAGGCTGGAACCTCCTCGTACGTGGGGCGTACGCCTGTACGCGGGGCGTACAGGGATCCGAAGTCATCACTGCATGCATCATCCGAAGTGTCGACATTTCTGGCTGTACGCGGGGCGTACTCCGGATGATTCCGGTGACTCGTCTTCGGATAAGGCCAGATTTTATAATTAAATTTAATTATTAATTATTTATTAAACTTCGAAAACTCATATCTCCTTCATACGAACTCTGTTTTCGACGTTCTTTATATCCACGCGAAGGTGAAACTACGCTCTACAACTTTCGTTTAGACTCCGTCGGCTAATTTTGACTTTATTTTTATTATTTATTTTTAATAGGTCGGGACAGAAAATTTCGTTACAAATTCATAACTTCTTCGTTTGACGTCCGTTCTCGCCTAACTTTTTATCGCTTTGATACTAACAATGAGATCTTCGATTCTCGTTTAGATCACTAAGGCTAAATATTGCTCTAACGTAAATTTCACTTTTTACGTCATTCAGCGGTGCCAGTTTTGTCGCGAAATTTCGACAGGTCATAACTTCTTCGTTATAACTCGGATTTCGGCATTCTTTATATCTTCGGAAACCTTGTTTCAACTACTACAACATTATCTAAAGATATCAAGTTTATTTTACACTTAAATTTTGACGCTTGTTTTTATTCTTAATTAATCAAATCACATAATTAAGCAATTAAGCACAAAACACATAATACTCAAATAATACACTTATATTATTTCAATACGGGTTACAAAGGTTAACCTAGACTATTGCATTGCTAAAAATGGCAAGTGCAGAAACACAGGCGTTACAGATGAGCCCCTCTCTCCCCTTGCGGCGTGCGCATAATGTTACAGGTCAAGAGACAAACTTGGGACCAAGTTTCTAAAATTGGCATGAAAGGTCTCTGGGGTTTGGTCTTTTGACAATACATAGCCTATCTTACTTTGCTTGAACAAAATAAGTTTCCAAAATAACACATTAACCCCTGGACCTTTAATATTTAATCATTTGCAATAAATTGATTTAGTTTAATTATTATGATTAGTATTGTTTAACCCCGTACATTTATAATGCCTTACAAATTAAATCATTTGTCAAACCTTCGAAATTTAGTCTTTAAAATTTTATAATTATCCGTTATTATTTGTTAACCTCATTTCGAAATAACTAAATGGAAACGGGTGTTACAAAATCCATGATTGTTTTCTAAAAAACAAAGATTATCTAACATAAAAATCATTCTAACATATAAAAGATAGCTCTAATACCATTGATGGGTTTTGATACAAAATATAAATTAGTTTTTCATAAAAACTGGCAACGAAAGTCTTTAAAAATAACACATTTATTTTTAGTTTATAACAAAACCAAACCATCAAGTATCAATTTATTGAGATTATAATGAAATAAAAACAACCAACAAGTTTTTAGAATGACAACCTTTGAAATCTTTGAATCCACTTGTTTTAGGGTGTTGATGAAGATAGCAAAAAATCAAAGAGTATGATTTCTTTGTGCATATCCACCATCAAGAGTAAGACACTTGGAATGATAGTTATTTACTGTATTTTTTAGTGTCTTAAGCCTTTAAGCACTTAACTCAAATAAGCACTAAAGGAGACAAGCCAGTGAAACTTTAAATCACTAAACTAACTTCAAAAGATAGAAAAGTGAAGAAGAAAAGATAGTATTGACAATGATGAAGTAAGAAGCAAAAAACTAGCTTAAAACTCATCCAAGACACTCCTTTAAATACCTAATGAAAAGTAAAGCCTAACTATTAAAACGCTCTAAAGTAATGGTTAGTATAAGGAGCATGAGAGACAATATATGGAGATTGACAAGCAACCTCCACTCATTTAAACAACTTTCGGTCATGCCTCTTGAAAATAGAAGGATTTTATAGAATTTATAAACTTAAAATTTATAAAATATAAATTTTGTCTTTAGGTAAAAGACAAAATGATCCAACTAGTCCAAAATATTGTGCATGACTTATTAATTCATACCATACGAAATAATAATTAGTTATACTCTTTTATAATTATTATTTTCATAAAATAATAATTATTCCCTAATTAAATACAAGAATCGGTATTATTTATTAAGAATCATATTAATAGTAAATATACAAAATGTGTCAACTTGATAAAGATGTGACCTTATAAAATCATATATTATTAACAATGTCACTCAATAATGATTCTTGAGCATAGAGATTTAACAATATTTATATTAATATCCTGACTTTGGGGGACTGTAAGTCACTGAATATGAAACCAAAAAAATGACAAAATTTTAGTTTAAAATCATTTATAAACTCTAAACTACACTCTGGAAAAAACCGCATGTCAATCCGAATTTAAACAAATGAGATATTCATGTTTTAAAAATTTCACATAATATAAAGTACAAAAACAAATAGCTAAAAAATTGAAAATTTCCAACATTGATATCCCAACTTCGAGGGACTATAAGTCATTGAATATTGGGTAAATAACATAAAAAAAAAACTCTTTTTACACATAAATTTGATTTTGACACTGTGTTTTTTTGTGTCAATTTTGACACTGTGTTTTCTAATTTGTTACAATTCTAACCACTTGACCGGTTAACCAGGTTACATGCTGACGTGACATGCTGATATGATATGCTGACGTGTCAAAATTGATTTTTTTTTCTCACAAAAAACACTAAGTTTTTATTTTTTTTTCGATTTTGACACTAAATTTTTTTTTTCAACTTTGAGACTATGTTTTTTTGTTCCAAATCGAATATCATTTTTTCCAATTTTGTTCAATGTTGACAATTTTCTATTTGAAACCATATAAATATTTTTTAATTACATTTAAACCGTATAAATATGTTTTTTTTTTCATTTAAAAACCATATTTTTGTATAAATACATCTTATTATTCTTCTTCTTCTTATTATTATTATTTTACACTCAAACCATATTTTTATGTATAAATATGTATTAGTTATATAAAAATTATATTTTATATTAAATATGCAACTTTAAAATGTGTTTGGAGGTTTGGAGGCATGTAGTCGATCAAAACTCGGATATCAAGTTTGCAACCCATTAAATTTTTACATCTTATTAGAAACTTATGGTTAGTTTGATTCTAATGATATAACTAATGTTTTGAATGTATGGAAAAAAACACCTTGTATTTAAATAAAAATGTGGTTTTAAAACGAAAAAAATATGTTTATACGGTTTAAAATATAATAAAAAATATATTTATACGGTTTCAAATGGAAAATAAACAAAATTGAACAAAATTTGATAAATGATGTTCGATTGTAACAAAAAAAACATAGTGTCAAAATTGAAATAAAAAATCAAACTTAGTGTCAAAAAATCGAAAAAAGTGAAAACTTAGTGTTTTTTGTGGAAGAAAATCAATTTTAACACGTCAGCATATCATGTCAGCATGCTACATCATCAAAACTAACACGTTAGCATGTAACCTGGTTAACCGATCAAATGGTCAAAATTGTAACAAACTGGAAAACGTAGTGTCAAAATTGACACAAAAAAAACACGATGTCAAAATCGATTTTTTATGTAAAAAAAGTGTTTTTTGTGCTATTTACTCTTGAATATTAAACTAAAAATGACAAAATTATAGTCTAAACTCAATTACAAACTCTAAACTATAAGTTGAAAAAAACCTCATGTCAATCTGACTACAAACGGATTAGATATGTATGTTTTAATGTTTTCACATAATATAAAAATAGTTGAAAAACTAAAAACTTCCAGCTTTGACATTCGACTTTGGGGATTGTAAATCATTGGATATTAAAAAAAAAATGACAAAATTATAGTCTAAACTCATCTACAAACTTTAAACTACAAGTTGGAAAAAATCGCACGTCAATCCGGTTTTAAACAGATTAGATATGTATGTTTTTACATTTTCATGGAATACAAAAAGAACTGAAAAACTAAAAACTTTCAGTTTTGATATCCAGACTTCTGGGGACTGTAAATCATTGAATATTAAACAAAAAATGACAAAATTATATTTTAAACTCATGTACAAACTCTGAATTACAAGTTGAAAAAAAAATTCATGTCAATCCAACTTCAAACGAATGAGATATACATGTTTTAAAATTTTCATACAAACCGGTTCTGGTCCCTAAATGTGTTTTTGGTTCTTAAACCCGTTGTACCTGGACCTGATGGACCCAAACCCTGATTACATGGAACCTGGATAAATCCATTCTTTAGACACGGAACCCGGGCCGGTTCTACATATTTCAGTTCTAACGGTTTTGGCTCCGGTTCTATATTTTAGTATTAAATATCTATCCCTGTTTCTTAGAGCATCTGCAACTCACTTCCATTTTCCAACTTTTCTCTTATTCCTTCCCCCATTTCTCTTCAATCCTACCCCATTTATTCCCCGGAAATGAATAGTATAACACCATATTTGGTGTTATACTATTTATTTCTCCCAAAACGGGGATAAACTTTGAGTTGTTAGTTTTAGTCCTTATTTGTATATATTTATATATTATTAGTTTATTTTATTTACTAATTATAATTTAAATATATTATTTGATACTTATAATATTGTATTATGTATTAAATTATATTAATTAGTTATAAATATATAGTTTATTTTTTGTTTATCAAATTCATATGAAAATTTAAATACATATTGAAATTTTAAAATACGATAACGTATTTTACAAAAACTTATAATTATGTGTTATAAATATAATCTTATTTATTTAATAGTATTCTAATGAAAAAAATATAGATTATATATTTATTAAAACCAAATTAATAGAAAAAGTATAATTGACGATCAATATATCTTGGAAAAATAGAATATAATTTTGAGGTAAAAACTAAGTAATAATAGAATAGATTGGAGAAGAAACGTTATTTATCTTAAAAAAAATAAAAGCGTGTTGGAGAAGTTCTTAGTAAAAAAAATTGCAAACTTGCAACCCAAACGGCCCATATTCGGAGTTTTCTCAGAAATCTTTCAAGAAGTATGCTTTTGTTTGGGAGGGTTGGAAGTTTTGATTCGTATCAACGATAGGCGATGAAAGAACCATCGGAGACGAAGCACCCTAACAGTACGGAAAGGAACTCGAAAACGAAAGGGAAGAGCAACAATTTTGAGTTTTGTAAAGTATGCAAGCTCAATCACAATCTAGGTCGCCGCCATAACTACCTTCCTAACCACGTCAAATCACTCTCATCTTTCCTATCTCGATTTCAGTCCAAACTCTCTGATGTACGGTTTTTTCTTAAGAACCCTAACTTACTTCGTCCAGAGCTTGCATCTCGCAAGAGGTTTTGGTGTGTCTTTTGCGATTCTGATGTTGCGGAGAACGACAGTTCTTTTGCCTGGTGAGCAAGTTAGCACCATCGTACGCATTTACACATCAATGCACATATTAAGCAGGCATAATCTGCCTTTTTCATTGAGATATCTAAGTAGAACCAGAATATCGCATCTTCTGGTTATAAGTTCTATCGTTTATAACCTCCTAGGTTTTAATGGTGTAGCATTCTAGTGAATCTAGACGGACCTGACCATTTACACGAACAAAGCTGTAGAACATTAGGGGATTTTTGGATGTGAGTCTAAAATTCTCAAATTAATCCGTTTCCAGTGTTTGATTTTGATTATTTAGGCGTAAAATTATATGAATTTGGTGATGTAGTAGGAAATTAATTATGTACCTATAACTCAATCAACCGTTTGATCTGATTTTAGGCAATAATCACTTTGAAGAGGCACATCCAGACATCCTTATGTATTCATGCTTCTCAAACAATTTTGTAAAACAAATTTTCATGTAGAACCCAGTTTGAAGTTCATGCCCTTTGTACTGTCAGTCACGAACAATTTCAAGGGAAAATCAACAAAACCATGTTTCATGCTAATAAATAAAGTCGTGTTTAGCTACAGTTAAGTCATCTTATTTCATTTCAAATTGTTTTTGTCAGTGAAAATGCAATCAGCCATCTTGCAAGTGCAGATCACTTGAAAAACTTAAAAAGTTTTATGTGGAAACATGGTGGAGGAATGGATCGAATTGATGGTTTCCGGATTTCAGAGGCAGATATTGCTAAGGTAGTTTTTTTAGCCTCTTAAGCTTAATCTTGTTATTTATGTCATACCTTACACTACAAAAATAGACAATAGATAGATTCATAATTAGAACCTTACAGACACTTATGACTTCAATCTACATGTTGTTGCAGTATGAAAAGAAGTGCATATCAATGAAGAACAAAGGTGCTAGTGAACAATCTCATGGCCCTATGATTGGACCTTCAAATGATATCCACAATGAACTGAAATTTGATTATGTACATAACTTTGACAGACATAATTCAAGTTTTCCAAATGGTGTTACACCTTTACAATATCATACAAATGAGAAATATCAGGTATCCCATTCAGATATGTCTGGAGTTTATGATGACAAATTGTTGCTGTTGGGTTCAAATGCAAAGCATTCAAGTAACTTAAAAGGTGATTGATTTCTGTCCATAATACATTATATTAATTCACCCCATGTTATTTTACTTTCATGAATTATATAGAGACTTATCAAAACTTTCTTTTGTGCTCATGTAATGTTACTACTCTCAGGTAATGCAGGGAAAAGTTGCTTAACTGATGGTAATCTTCACAATAAACCGGTATGTTTCCAATGAGCATAGTTCCTGTTATTTTAGTGATGGCATATAACGTTTTATAATATTGACCAAGTTAGTTATTTTCTACTTGTTTTTTGGGTTCATTTTTTGCCATTATTTTGGCACACACTAATGTGATAGGGGAAGATATGCCAGGTATATGCACAGAACAGGGAAGCTAATGGGGATGATAGTTCAGCAGGTATTATATACAATTTCACTTTATTTGTCACTCTTAATATTTCATTTTTCTACCAATTTATGCATTTGACACGAACATGTAACCTTTCTTTCTATTATTTTTACTGTTTAAGCATTTGAACAAGTGTTGTAGAACCAAATGCCACCTAAAATCTTATTAATTTTGTGACAGGTTTGCAGAAGCTCACTCGAATTTCTTCTTCAGTCCATGAAACGGACACCGGAAACGTGCATTCCGGAGCACCCCCTCCTTGGCTTAATACAACGAACGGAATTCATGTTGATCCTGGAATGGAAACAGATCCTGTGATAAAACCTGTAAAATCAAAGTTAAATCCTAAAAGGGTTGGAGCTGCTTGGGCTGAAAAAAGAAAGATAGAAATGGAGATGGAGAGAAATGGGGAACTACCTGCTAACAGATTTGATGCCAGCTGGCTTCCAAATTTCGGTAGAGTATGGCAATCAGGAAGCAGAAAAGACTCCCGGAAAGAATTTCAGGTGGAAAAAAAGAAACCTCTTAAGGATGAAAAAAATCATTCTGATGATTCATCATTGCAGTTGCAGCCTTATATAAGCAAACGAATGGTAAGTTTATAGATTTATGATGTGTTTTTCATTAGCTTTCAGATTCAAAATTCATTCTGATGATCTGCAGCGCAGAGAAGCCAATGAATGATTTCTTCTGCTATGATGACTTTGTATTTTGATGAGTATAAATTTCAGAGGCAAAATGAGAAATTGGTGGATTGGAATTGGCAACTAACAGGGTACGTACATATTGCAAGTAAATTAAAAAACTATGTCAATTGTCGTATTGATATTTGTGGTTCTTTATGTAATAACTAATGGGGTTAAGGTTTTTTGGGTCAAACAAAAGAAGTCATTGACAGCTGATAACTTGAGACAAACCTTTAGTCTAAATGCGGAATCTTAGTAAACAAAGATGTCTATACGTGATACTAATAATTTATTTGACTATTAATAAAATAACAAATAAGCATATTTACAAGACAAAATTGCAGAACGATTTTTGAGTTTTGTTACAATGCTAGTCCTCTTATGATTTCAAATCCTTACATGATTGTTGGTTTTGTTTAACACCGTTAATAACTACCATTAAGTCATTGTAAAGTCCATTATGTAATAACTAATGTGTTGTCTCATTTCATAAAATTTCCTTTAAACAGAAAAACATTGAGCCTCCATTTTCCCCTAAGTAATTATATAAGGTTCCTACTCGTTGGTGTTAAAATGGATTTTCTAGAAGTAATTTGTACGAATCAACCTTTCACAAGTCATTTGTGGGTGGGTGGGTCATCGGAGGGAGGTGGTGGCTAGAGAAAATGAAAGTGTGTGGATGGTTGGCCGGAACAGATGAGTTAATTTCAGCTTTGAATGAACCCATTTGAGATGATATATAATTAAACGTTAAAATAAAATTAAGGGGCAAAATGATCATTTTGCACACACTTAACTGTCATTTGTTAATGATGTTAGATTTAGGGACCAAAACAAGACGAAAACCACAAAAATGACCATTTTTACGAGTTGAAACTATTTTGAACATTAGACAAAGAAAAATGAAAACCACAGGGTCAATCGTAGTTTTGTCTAAATTATCAAAAGTAACTTTATTATTTGCCTACTATTATATAAAAAACAAGTTACACAATTGGTCCTTGTTGTTTACAAAAACTAGCGTGGTTGGTCCCTATCCTTTTTTTTTTCTATTCAATTGGTCATGTGTTTCAATATCTTGCATGATTGGTTCTTTACACATGTTAAATGAAATATATTTTAGAATCTTAAAGAAAACGTACATATAAGAATCTTTCCACCGTTCCCATTAATCATTAAGAGGTTATATTGATATATCGTTTGGAATCTTAAAAAACAATGAAAAATACTCCATAGAATACCCAAATTTAGTGTATAAACTCAAGTTGACATCATTATGGATGCATTTGCTTTGTATAACTACATTTGTAGTAAGTCTGATTAAGACCTTTACTATTGTTGTTGTTGTTGTTGTTGATGATGTCATACTTCTTATAGGAAACGATATTCCAACTTTGCAAGAAGTTAAAGTTTTGGCTTGGAAAGTGTTTCACTATAAAGGATCTAGGAGAGACTGCTTATATTATAGGGATAAGGATTTTGAGAGACATGAGTAAAAGGCTAATTGGACTTAGTCAAAGTACATACTTGGATAAGGTACTAAAACAATTTAGTATGGAGAGTTCCAAGAAGAGGGAATTGCCAATACAGAGTAATACCAAACTAAGTAAGACTTATAGTCCAAATACCGATGCAGAGATAATATAAATGAGTAGAGTTCCATATTCTTCCGCCGTTGGATCTATCATGTATGCTAAGACATTTATTCATCATGATGTGACTTTCGCTTTGAACATGGTTAATCGTTATCAGGGGAATCTGGGTAGAGCTCATTGGATAGCGGTCAAGAATATTCTTAAGTATCCGCGAAGAACTAAGGAATGGGTCCTCGTGCTTGGTGGCAATGACGACTTAAGAGTAATTTGGTATAGTGACGCCAACTTTCAAACAGATAGAGACAACTTTTGTTCCCAATCTGGCTGGGTGTTTACCCTTAATGGAGGAGCGGTAACATGGAAAAGTTCCAAACAATAGATAGTAGCAAATTCTACCTGTGAATCAGAGTACATAGCAACGAGCGAAGCATCAAAGGAGGCTATATGGTTGAAGAACTTCATCGGAGACGTTGTAGTTGTTCCAACCATCAAAGAGCCAATGGAGATTTTCTGTGATAATGAAGGGGCGATGCCTTAACGAAGGAACCAAGAGATCATGGCAGATCAAAGCATATCGACAGAAAATACCATTTCATTAGACATAGAGTAGAAGGTTACCTCGTCGTAAAGAGGGTATCATCTGAAGAGAATCCAACAGATCCCCTCACAAAGGGTCTGAGTAGGATTAAGCACGTTCAACATGCGAGGAGCATTTGTCTGAAGGATATTAGTATTAGTAGTTGGATAGTTGTTTAAAAACTTGTAACAAATAAATGTAATTGACATTTTATGATTAAATAATGGAGAATTATTTATGAGTATTGTTTACTATCTTCTGTAAATTGTTTATTATTATGCTTTAATTTTGCTTGTTTTACTTTCAGAATAATTGAATTATTCAAACATCCGCAGTTGATCATACTTTTTGAAGTAAGTAGTAAATCAAGACTGTCATGAATTGGATTGTAGATTGTCTAAAGAGTTTAGACATAACAATGGTTTGCTGCAACATTCATGAGTACTTTGAAATAGAGATTTAAGTATTGGATTAATCCATGCTCAGAGAATTACTTAATGGAATTTATCACGAGTAATTCTGAGATGATAATATCTTATAATCTTTAAACGAAGATATACGAGTTGTTGTTTATGAGTTGGTTGTGCATTGATAATATGTAAACACATCAATAGTTTGATGTTACAAAACGTATTGTTGTGCGTGACTTGATGAGTAAATAGTTCATGCATATAAGTCAAAGTTTATCTGTTCATTTTTCCCTAACGAGAAAAGCGATATCTTGGGCCCCTCGATGATTTGATGTTGACTTATAGTTTTGGGCCCAACCAAGACTAAATTGATATGTTCGATTGGTAGTTATCTGTAATTACAAATAAGAAATCGGGAACAAAGTATTGGACAATGAGATTGATTATTTTCCACGTCATTTGTACACATGATATATTGCAGAACAGAGGATTATATGATCACTTATATTAGGACACACAACTGACTAGGTTAAAGTTCTGCAATGGTTTTGAGAGCTACAATTTGCTGATCGATTTAGAAGGATTACTGGCAATTATAGTTATTAGACTTATCCAAGTGGGAGACTGTTGGATTAGGTATCTAAGCCCATAACTATAATTGGTATATACTTGAATTGATAGTGGCACAGTCCTTGTGGGTTGCCCTTAAGACTAACAACTAGGAAGGACGATTTTGGAGAAAAAGGTTGATTTATTAATTTGATTAATAAATTGAAATAAATAACTTATTAATATATTATGATAATAATATATTAATTAGAAATAATATGATTTAATTAATATTTAATCAAAAATTAATTAGAATTAATTTTGGGATTAAAAACATTAACTAAAAGTGCATGGACTAAATTGTAATTGTTCAATAGTTGAGCAAGAGACAATCTAGAACCCTCCATAGGCTATGAATGGTTTTCTAGAGCCTTAGGGTTTCTAGAATAGTCTTTTATGGATAATCAGGAACGTAGATAATTATCCGGTTTGAGATAATCTTGGATTTAGGCTTATTTAGGGTTTCCTGACTGCACTATAAATAGGTCTGATACCTTACCATTTTCAGTGACTTGTTCTTGAAGAGTACCAGCCGAAAAGCGCAACTTACCTCCTCCTTCTCAATCATTATTCTATTGCTTGTGTTGGGTGTGAGCCATTAGAGGTGTGACAATTGTGACACTTGTTCTCAAAGTCTCAACCACACTAAGAATTTGGATTATTATTGCTATGTAACAATTAAAGGTATGTTTTGTAACCCTAATTATGTAATTTTGGTAATATACAAGTGTTCTAGGGTTTCTACATTGTATGTTTAATTAGAGAAAACGTAGATCAATTTTAGTATTGCATGCACACATAGGATTTTTTGTTTTGCTCAAAACCCATTAGTAATCGATTTATGTACGTGTATGTAGGTTTCGTTTTGGAAATCAATATTTGTATGTTCATCCCCAATAATCAGTTTTTATGTGTTTTTGCATTTGTCTCCCAACCCCTCGATGGAAACACTTGGCATCAAATATGTTCCGACAAGCTACCACTAACCTGCATTTGTTTCTTCTTCTTCACTAAAGGCTTTCTCTTGCATTACAGGCATCAACTCTTCCTCCTAGTCTAGAATATGAATATAGTGTGTTTATATGTTCATGTGTTTGAAGAACAAACCCATATTGTTTTCTTCTAAAAATTGAGCCCAATTTGTATATTTCCGCCTCTCATTCCTCGTTCTGAAACCTGCAACTCACCCCCACCCCCCAACATTTATGATTCTCTGTGTACGATTTCATGATCTCCACCACTGTTTTGGTTGGGGGTAGCTCTTGATCTCAGGACCATCTTCAAGGTTTATGCAACTGATGATTTCACTGGTTCCCCATTGTAGACCTAACCCATTGTACAACCGTGATTTAGGTTTCTATTTTTTTTTCTCATTTAAAGGTTCGGTGGATGGTGATTTGTGAGGTCTCAAGATTTGAGTTACAGATGAATGGGGATGTTTAGGGGTGATGTTCTTCAAAGTCCTGAGAGAGAGAAAGAGAGAGAGAGAGAGAGAGAGAGAGAGAGAGAGCTTTTATATGTGAAATAATTATATATATATATATATATATATATATATATATATATATATATATATATTAAATAGAATAATAGAAAACTTCATAAATGGTCCCTATGGCAGTGAATGACAAAAATGCCCTCATTTAACAAACAAAAACTTAACAGATTTAGAAATAAGTACCAATCGTTAAAAGTTTTGAAAACACAGGGTCCATCTATGATGTTTTTAAATCACGGTGACTAAACTTCAGATCTAAGAAAACCACAGGGACCATTTATGATGTTTTTTCTTTAATTCCATAAACAAACTCAATCATGCATCATCATTATCCATTCAAATATCTTATTCCTATTTTCTTTTGTAGGCGTCAATTCAATGTGGTAAATTGGTTTTGGGCAAATAATTGGTAGAAACTGCAATTGGTTATGCAATATATTGTGGCGTCTAGTCATTTTTCGAAGATTCGACTTTCCTACAAATACGCTACTATGAGACATTATATGATATCAAAAATGAATGCTCCTGGTCAACTACCTCATCCTCCACATTTTCTACTACCATTTGCACCCGATGGTGATGATGATCTTTTAGCACAATTTGATCGTCTTTCAACTACCTCATCCTCTTGGACAACATTACTTGATGCTCAACCTTCTGCTGCTTTAGTAAGAGATTAAAAGACTCCCCAATTTTCCTCTCCATCAACTACTTTTGAATCAAATTCTTTTAAGTCGCATGCCACGGTTTAACACCACATGTGTTGGTCATTTCAACAAACACCTTGTGGCTTGTGTGTGCCAATGGTCATGTTTTGGCTAAAAGTCTGTTTTCTAAAACATCTAAAAGATTTGCATCAGCCTAATAGTTTCTTGATCATATTCACAGAAAAGATCTGAGCTTTATTGACTTTGTTGGCCGAACATTATCCTTAAATTACAATCGTCCATGTCTTGATGTCAGGAATGCATTATATCAGACTTCTTAAAATCCCAATGAATCGATAAATATGCTTGATTATCAATGGATAAACCATCTTCTTTCATCTTTTGAGCACTAAATAAGAACTTATTTTATTACTATATTCCGGTAAACTTGAAGCATTAAGCTATAAATAAAACGAAGCATTAAGCTATAAATAAAAGAATTGGGCTGAAAACCTTGTTTTTTTTTAATGATCTAGCTGAAGAAATCAAAAGTCTTTTGGGATTTTTTTTCACAGTTCTTTAGAATATACATGACGATTTCATTAGTGAAATTGGAATTTGAATTCAACAATTCTTTTTCTAATGTTTTAGACAAATTTTCCTGAGAAATCAACAATTAAGATTTTTTTTTTTTTTTCTAGTTTTAAAGAAAACAACATTTTTCCATGGAGATTGTAAAATAATGGATGTAATGTATACCTATCATAACTTCCAGTTTGCAGAAATTGTTTCTCTATGGCAGGTAAGTTGACTAAATTAAACTTTGCCTTTGTAGGTACTTGTAAGCATCATTTTCCTAGATTTAAGTAAAAATAGGTATTCTTAGGACTGTCAAATCGGACAATCGTTTCTTGTTTTTATCTAATATGACAAAGTTTTATGTAATACGAACATGACACGACACCATGCCACGTTTTTTTTCACTAATGAAACACGATAACACGACATTACATGACAAAGATGAAATTACATAACCATTA